CCCTTCCCCTATGTTAGAACTGTAAAATCAACATAGTACATGAGATATATATTCAGCCTTTTACAGCTGTGATCCAGTACTTGCTTTGTCCATTAATTACACAGATTTGTGCTTCCTGGAAATCAAGCTCATCTGTATCAAGGATAGGGAATGCACCCACTGGTGTGCACATAGATATGTTCCAAATGTATCTAAAGACAATACATAACTTCCCTAAGCACTCCTTTGCCGGCCTCGGTGAAATTGACCATCATTTCATCCCGATGGTGGTCAGCTCAGGAATAAGAAGAGACAGACATGTTTATATCTACTACAGTCTGTAATGGTAGAATACCCTTCTTGCTGGTTTACAATAGTGATATACATTGCTGATGCATGCATAAGGTGAGAATGGAGCAGAGGAATGCACAAGAATACGAGGGGATACTTGCGACCACCTTTCAGCCACAATCTGCTGACAAATTAACTCGCACCGGAACCGGGCGTTGCGCCTCCCCACTACTTATCACTCACGAGCGTGTCTATGATGATTCCGTCATCCAGTCGGACGTATATAAGGCTTGAAGTACTGCCGAACGTCTTGCGGACGTATCACACGGAATGGCGGAAGAAACGAGCCCTTTGTTGAAGCAGCCCGCGAGTACACCATCTTATGCGACGACGGGTGCCGATGTCGAACGACCGGAATCTACGCCCGCCGACGATGCGGACAGCGCAAAACAGGCCGTTAATATACCTGCCATCGTGAGTGCTAAGTTCATTCTTCGCAAGATTGAAGGGGAAGGGAGAGGAGGGGCGCTGGGTATGTATCAAAGCAGCTGCTTGCTGGTTGATTGCCATATATCCGCTCGTATGTGCTTTCCATGTACGCACGACAGACCAGCATTTGTCAAGACCTAAGTTCCTGGTTATACGCCGTAGCAGGGAGCGAAATCGGGATTTTCTGCGGAGTTTACTGAACACTCATTCATCGTAGGTGTTACCTCTCGCCGTTGGCGTTTTCCTCGCGGCAATGGACCAGACGATAGTTGTTTCCTCCTATGCGTCGATTGGGACCCAGTTCAACCAGCTACAAAATACCAGCTGGATTGCGACGGGGTATATGCTCACCGTGGTCAGCTTTCAGTGAGGAAGGGAAGTCATGCGTATACAAAGAGGTTCACTGAATATTTCACGCAGGCCGCTCTACGGAAAACTGAGCGACATCTTTGGCCGGAAAGGCTGCCTGCTCACGGCATACTCAGTCTTTGCAGTGGGATCACTCTTCTGCGGGCTGGCGCGGAATATGAACGAGCTTATATTTGCCCGTGCTCTGGCTGGGATGGGAGGCGGGGGAATATCGACGTGAGATTTATCTCTTTCTTCGGAATTTGCACTGTCTGAAAGTCCTACAGCATGGGCTCGATTATCATGTCGGATGTGGTGCCTCTGCGGTCGCGAGGTACCTGGCAAGGTAGGTGGGACGGCATTGAGAGTACCGTGTCATGCTAAATGGCAACCAGGTGTTATCAACATCATCTTTGCTACCGGCCAAGCCACAGGCGCACCCCTAGGCGGCATACTTGCGGACAGCATCGGATGGCGATGGTAATCCTTCAGCCCCTCATCCATCAGGAAGCTGTGCTGAACAACCCTATCAGGGCTTTCCTGATCCAAGTACCCCTAACCGTCTCCGCGATCCTCTCCGCCGGCCTCGCGCTCAACCTGCCCCGGCGCGAAGGCGGCGACTTCTACCAGAAGCTCAAGCGCGTTGACTTCGGGGGCGCCGCGACGCTCGTCTCCGCTGTCTTCCTCCTCCTCCTCGCGCTGGACCGCGGCGGGAACGTCGCCTGGACCGACACGCTCACCCTCTCCTGTCTCGGCTCCTCGGCGCTCTTCTGGCTCGCCTTCGCGTTTATAGAGCTCGAGTACGCGAAGGAGCCGTTCGCCCCGAAGCGCATTGTGGTATCGCCCAAGCTCATTGCGAGTTATCTGGTGAACCTTTTCGGCGTGATGAGTAGTATGTGTTTGGTGTACCAGATCAGTCTGTATTTCCAGGCGGTGCGCGGGATGAGCGCGAGTCAGGCAGGCGTGGGCTTGTTGCCGAGTATTCTGGCGGGCGTGGCAGGGAGCCTCGCTGGGGGCTTGATTATGCAGGCGACCGGGAGATATTACGTGTTGACGATATGCATGTATGTTTGTATGCTCGCGGGGACGATCGTCATTGCTCTTGTCACGGGGACTGTCGTGCACTCGTTTGTGGGCATCATGATAGGTGAGTCGACGCTGCTGGTGCCGATTAAGGCGATGACTTATCTGCATGCAGGCCTTGTGTTTATGTCGTTCGGGAACGGTACGCCACGCCATCCGGATTGATCTTGAGGCGGGCGATGAATCGCTGTCCATAGGTGCCGGGATTACGACCACCCTCATTGCTTTGATCGCAAACGCGGGGCCAGAAGACCAGGCTATCGCGACAGCAGGCACGTCATATCCTCGTCTGTTTTGCAACATAAGGACCCGATTTTTGACCTTCCGCTGCTAGTTTCGTATCTCTATCGTTCATTGGGCTCCGTCATGGGCATATCCATAGGCAGCACCCTTGTACAGGACCGCTTGCGCAACCTCCTCCGTATCCGCCTCGCCGGCGAAGACATCGATATCGACGAGGTACTACTCCTTCCCCTATGCACTCACAAAAAACTGACACATTACCAGATTGCTCGCCGCGTACGCGAATCTCTGGCGTACGTGGACAAGCTGCAGCCCCGGATTCGGGCGATCGTGCGGCAGTCGTACGACGAAGCGGTGCCCGCTGCGTTCTGGTTCTCGGTCGCGACGGGGAGCGCAGCGCTGATTGCGACGTTCTTTATCAAGGAGAAGGTTTTGCCGAAGACTGGGCGCCCGTAGACGCTAGACGTACGAAGAGATACTGTACGCTGTAAGTTCAGTCCTGATATACATTGAGTAGAAGGGCGTAGAATCACTGAAGTGTACGTGGATTGCTGAAGACAATACTCTCAATTTAAGGTCTTTGTCTGTGCGAAAGCAAATCAGACACGGCATGGTTGTGGGTTGCGAGCTAACTTCAAGCATATGTCACATATGACATTGTCCTTGTTCAGTGCTATATTGGATTCCAAGAGGTTCTGTTGTCACTCAGGACGATCGCATGCGCGCACGCCCGCTCAACTTCCTGCCCCATGTACTGTTATAAGAGTATACCCCTCGCCACCAGATTTCCCTCCTCCCAGGTTCCATCGTCCTGGACCCCCCCTCCCAGTTCGTCCATTCAGCCCTTTTGTGTCGCACCTTGGTCGCAGTGTCTCGCTGGTCCTCTGGATCATGGCATCGATACTTCAGCAGACATTACCAGGACACCGGGTCAAAGGATGGACGTGGACAACACATCGTGTCGCAGCAGCCAATCAATATACGGAACTAACAAGCATTCACTGATCAGAATGACCGCTGTTTCATCTAGATCCGTGGTCGCTGCGTATTTCATAACAGTCATGAACTGATGTAAGCACTGCTATCATAAGGCTTGCCTCACTTAGGGTGCCTCTTCTTACCTAACTCAAGCCCACCGGATCAGTCTGCAAGCACATGGATACCCTCCCTCCTGAGATTCTCCTCTCCATCGTCTCGTTTGCGTGCTGTGACGGGAGACCGAGAGCTTGCTCACTGCGTTCCGTCGCAAAGTACTTGTCCACACTGACGGAATCATACAGGTTTAGGTCCGTCGTGCTGGCCGGAGAGAAACAGACCAGGCCAGGTAGCGCTGGCTGCTGCACCCCCCGATACGCAACAGACCGTCCGCCACCTGTTCGTCTCCGACGCGACGAACGAGCGACAGTATGCGCCCTTCATCGACAGACGGAATACTGGGAGCCACGTCGCTCAGAAGGTGCGGGAGCAACTAGGGGATGAAAGGTTCGGGGCGTTCAGGGTATCCTGACCCTCGTAGCGCCGATCCTCGCGACACTCACATGTCTGATCTACCACGCATCCTGGCAATATGCCGTGCTCCCCTCCCTCCTCAGGACCGAGTTCCCCAGGCTCTCGCACCTGACTCTACATGTAGTAGAGGCCTGGCTTGTGTCCCGTCTTCGCATCCAGAATCGTCGCTGACAAGCCCACCTATGTGCGCTTCTCGGGGATCCTTGTCGACTACGAGTCAACTACGAGTCCCTGTGAACTCCTGCGGCGGATCCTAGACTAAGACAAGGCTAGCGATACCCAGTAACACCCCCCCCCCCCGGTGATGTGATAAGCCAGGGCCGGTGTGCAATCTGACAATATCCAGTGCTTCGCATTGGAGCCAGCGGCATCGAATTCGCAGGATGGGGCGAACAATTGGCAGCAGGGTGTACTCAAAAGGGAAGGCAAATCGCAGATGAAATGGGGCACTTCAAGCTGCTGCCTGCAGCGCCTCCGCGGACGACTCTGGTTGGAAGTGCAGTTGGGCAAACGCGCCTTTTTGGTGAGCCGCTTGTTATCCTTTTGTTGGCATATTTCCGGGCCAATTCATATCACTCAACTTAGTATGAACACCTTAGGAGATCGGCTGCTGAGCCAGTCAGCTGATATAGCATAATAAGTACCAGGTGAACGTCTGCTGGACGTTGACAGGCAGCAGAACAAGGTTCACTATTATACAATGACATTCAGCTAGTCCATGGGATCAACCGTATAGAGGGACACTCTCAAAGAGATGCCAGATCAGGAACCGGACGGGAGACCGGGTTGATGACTCTCCAGTCATTGTCTAATGTATCAATAGAGCGATTCCAAGCCTTGCACAGTTCTTATTTTCAACCTTGCTGCTCGGGATATCGCTTAGACCGGATAGTAAACGCCGTGGCGTCCAGTATGACTGATCAAATGGAAGTCAACTACCAGGTACGCTAGACACCGCTGCATGCGCTGTACCACCAGTTTGGGTATCAAATCCGACCAGTGGGAAGAGGCGACGCCCAAGGGACGCCCAGTCGGCCGAACCAGACTCCGAGTCAAGCAACCTGCTCAGAGGGTTCCGTCGTCGATTTCATCTCTTGAGCGTCTTCAAGTCTTCCAGGGAACTTATGAAAAACCTTTCAACTGGACTGAATGGTCAACTCAATAGACAGATTTCCTCCGAACACTCAAGATGACACTGGTCAAGGGAACAAGCTGATACATTGCCCTGGTCCCCACCCTGGATGGCTTTAGGTCAGGAAGCGCTACACAGAGATGTCACGTATGTTCCCAGCTGAATATTCAGATGATAGCGTCAATGCGCTGTACAAAACGGCCCCTCTCCCGCTCTGATTATCCGCAGCCCCGTCAGTTGCTTGTCCAACTCGACCCACTACTGGGATGTCCAGGTGTGTTGCGACACCTTTCGCTGTGCAAGGTGACGCTCATCACCATCACCATCCAGTCTCGAATCAGACCGTCTCCTTCAGGAACGGTTCCAAAGGGAAGAGCTCGGCCGCGAGGAAGCATTCGAGGAGATCCTTCGGGATCAGCGTCATGAGGCCTTACTAGCCGAAATCGACCATCAGGCAGGCGAGCGTGCTCGGGCCAAGGCATTCAGCGAGCTCATTCTGAGCATTGATGAAACACGAGCGAGCGCTGCTCAGGTACGCTGGAAGGCCTTCCGAGAAGCACAAGACTCGCAGGAGCTGTATGTTCAGAAGAAGGGAGTGGCAAGAAGTGCGGCATTTCAGAGTGAAATGGTGTTCTGCCATGGCCAGGTCATGACCGCGTTGGAGTTGCAGGAGACGCAATCATCAAACTGGCTTGACTCTCGCGGTCCAGTGTCAGAGCACCACCGCCAGCACTGGCAGGACATCTGCGCTTTTCTCAAGCATCGGTACGAGCAGCAATTCCATGATATTCTCCGACCTTGGGTGGCGGTGTTTCACGCGGACTTCGAAGTCTCGCATAGGGAAAGAGAGGAAGAGGCGGCTCGAGTGGTCAGTCTTCTATTGTCGGTGCAGTGCTTTTCTGACTCCTGTGCAGATCGTTGAGTGTCTGACGTCGCGGGGGAAAACCACCGACACATCAGCAGCCGACGTGTTGCACACCTTACGGACCACTGCACCTATGCCGTTATCGGGAACCTCGGAGGGAGAACAGGCGCTTACAAACACTATCGACAGAGCCGCCTCGGGGCAGGAGGCTTCTCCTCCTCCCAGTGACCCTGACAGCTTAGTGAGTGATGAGGACGAAGAGCAGCCCGCGAATACGCAGAGGGAAGATATCCCCGCTTCTTTGCAAGATCCTCCCGGAGATGATGTCACCGTACCAAACCCGGGCCAAAACGCAGGCCAAGGGCGGTGTCAGCAGGAGAGCGAAACTCCTCCCGCTGGAAACGAAGCCGCTGGCCCTGGAGGCACGAAGATCGCGTTGTTGTCCCTTGGTGAACAATTCCAACAAAGTCAGGCCAACCGTGAACAAAGATTCAAAGACCAGGAACAGGAAATGGAACAGCGCTGGGTCGATGAGGAAACAACTCGGGCTTGCGCAGGGGCCGACAGAGACGCGATGTTCGAGTCGAAGATGCATGATTCAGCGCATAGGTTCACCCAGGAGATGGAAACGTATGACAAGATATTTCATGCCCAGCAGCAAGCACGCTCGCCCGACGATGCCGAAATCACATTTCAGGAAGTCTTGGACGAATGGCAACACCACTTCGAAGTCTGTGAATCCCGGATAAATGCCTCGTACAAAGCTATGGCAGGAGCACAAGACGACGTCATGCGGGCGATGCAGTGCACGGTAGATGAGGTTGCCGAACGTCAGATTGATTGGTTAGATGACGCCCGGGCTAGGCAAATGCTGGCATTTCTCAAAGTCGCCTGCAGCCTGGACCCCACCCTCGAGGGGGAAGAGTCAGAATGGGCATCCGTCCGACATCGCATAGCGAATAAGAACAGAGACAGACGGGCAAAACGAGGCGACTCGATGGACGAGAAGACGCACTCAGATTCATCAAGCAGCGAGGTGAGCGAGTCAGATTCATCAGACGGAGAAATGAGCGGAGACGGTGAGGCTGAAGAAGAGACTCCGCCACCGATCGCACCAATGCGTGCACCAAAAAGGACTCCGTTTGAGCGAATGCTCAAGTCAATGGCCGGCGCGGAAAGATCGTCAGCACCTGCGACAGGTGTGGTGCGTACTGCTTATATGCAGCTGTCTTGAGAGTCAAGCGTCCGTTGACCTATGTCTTCCCTAGGCAATACGAAGTATAACCGCACCGATTCACATTGGCAAACCACTACCCATTCCTGACCAACCTCGGGGAAGAGAGGCGAGTGACGGGATTCCAGCGACTTCTGCAGCTGGCATACAGAACTGACATTTCTCTAGGCGAAAGTGATCCACGAGCAGGACCACCAAAAGCTGTTTCAAGAATCACAAGAGAAGATGAAGATGTTATTCCAGAAGAACATGAAGAAACGCCGGCAGGAATTCACCGTGAGCGAAGCGAGTCGTGAGCACGCCTTTGCGCAGGCCCAACTTGCGTGGAGGTGTCTATGGCGTGCACAGGAAGTATCTCAAGACGACAGTTTTCTCGACTCCCAGATGCGGAGGGCCGAAGACTTCCAGACAAGCGAAGCGGAGCGCAGAGTTCTCTTCCGCGACGCCGAGACCGAAAGGAGGGAGGAATTCCTCGCATACCTTCAAGACAGCCGAAAGAAATTCGAAAAAGACCAAAAGAGACGACAAGCACGGTGGAGGCGGTCCGAAGACGCCCGCCGGTCGGAGTTCTCGAGCTGGGAGCAGAAACATGTTGTGCAGCTCGAGGGGATGGTGGTGAAATACCAGGGGCTGTTTCGCGCGGACGAGCGCATGCGCGGGTTGAAGTTTGAGGAGGCGTTCCGGCGGAAGAAGGAGGAGACTGGACGGCTTGCTTGATTCGTGGCGACTCGCATGTGCCGCATGCGCTCTTTCGAGCTCGGGACGCCGATACAGACTCGAGATATATGGTCACTAACTAGAGGCTGGACTCAACGCACCCGGCGGGTCAAATTTTCTCTGAATCGTACGTGTACGAGTAAACAGCAGCTGTATTTCCCCACTACGTACCAGTACTCACTTCCTGTAACTCGAATGTGACGTTTTGCAATGCTCAGTTGCGCTCGCTGCGGACATCGGTGAATCGTGTCAATGAATATTAATTCGAACTTCGAATGTATCCAGCTAACTCTGTCGAAGTAATAGGTTGCCCTGTATCATATCAATATTGACACCGCCAGGGGGGGGGGTTAAAGCTCGGTCCCGTGGACGCTCACGGTTCTGTGCAGCAGACCTCACGGCAAGAAGTCAATAAAACGCTTCGAATTCCCCCTAGCACACCGCCCGAAATACTTACATGTCCAGCAGTCTTGCTCAAACATCTCCGATACGACCACCGCACACGTATGATAATCGTTGGGCGATACCACAGACACCCGGAGAACGCACTGTAACTTCTAGATCTCCTAGCGAAATAAAGCCTCCTCCCCAAGGCAGCCTATTTATAGGTACAGTAAATCTAAGTAGTAGTAAATACCAGGTTTACACCATATATACAACCCGCCCTTATTAGATACGACTATAAATCAGCCCGACCAAAACCCATGCATGGAAAATGCCCGATGTGAACGACCGCAAATGTGACGAGAGGAGTAAGTCATGCCCGTGAGTGGGGAGCGATCCCATAGAATCGGGGGATCCAGGAGTGGGAGCAGACACCAGACACCAAAGAGCAGCCAGCGAGCACCCGCGCTCAATACATCCTCCACGGCGACGTCGCACTCACCGCCCTATCCACCTACAGCGACCACGTCAATCACTACACCCTCTTATAAACACCCAAAACCCATCAAAATCAGGGAACACTCACCTACACCTTCTCCAGATCCCCGCCCCCACCCCCAATCACCACCCCGAACTCCGGCAAAAACCCCACCCCCGCCGCCCACCGCGCCCTCCACGCTTCATATATACCCGCTCGCCCCGTCTTCGGGCGGGTCGGGCACCGTCAGCGTGCCTCTCTCCTTCCCCTGCCCGTCAAGTCCCACCCCATTCTGGTTCTTGGTCGCGACGAGGAGCGCGGCGCTGATTGTGACGTTCTTCATCAAGGAGAAGGTTTTGCCAAAGACCGGGCGGTCGTAGACGCTAGACGTACGAAGAGATACTGTACGCTGTAAGTTCAGTCCTGATATACAGATGAGTGGAAGGGCGTGGAACCCCTGAAGCGTATATGGTTTGCTGAAGACATTACTCTCCATTCAAGGTCTTTGTCTGTGCGAAAGCAAATCAGACACGACGTAATTGTGGGTTGCGAGCTAACTGCAAGCAGATGTCACATATGGTATTGTACTTGTTCATTGCTGTAATGGATTCCAAGAGGTTTTGTTATCACCTTGGACAATGAAGTGCAGGCTGCGCGTGCGCGCACGCTCGCTCAATACCCTGCCCCAGGTACTGCTGTCAGAGTCTACCCGCTCGGCACCAATTTCCCCTCCTCCACTTCCATCGTCCTAGAGCCGCCCCTGCCCCAGTTTGTCCATTCAGCCCTTTTCTGTTGCACCTTGCTCGCAGTATCTCGCAGTACCTCTCGGTCATGGCGGCTCGAGTCGGTACTTCAGACGTTACCAGGACACCGGGTAAAAGGATGGACATGCACACCATGTCGTGTCGCAGCAGCCACTGACCTGTGGATAAGCGGAATTAGCAAGCATTCACTGTTCAAAATGTCCGGTGTTTCATTCAGGTCCATGCTCGCTGCGTATCATCTAACAACGTGAACTGATGTAAGTATTGCTATATAAGGCCTGCACAACTCACTTTAGGGTGCCTCTTTCTTACCCAACGAACGCACACCGAAGCAGTCCCTGCTGAGATTCTCCTCCATATCGTCTCGTTCGTGTGCTGCGACGGGTAACCGACGGCTTGTTCGCTGCGTTCTGTCTCAAAGAACTTGTGCACGCTGACGGAGTCATACAAGTTTAGGTCCACCGCCTTTGTGGCAAGAAGCAAACCAGACGCTTCCTGCGAGTGCTGGCTGGCGCACCCCCCGAGACAACAGACCGTCCGCTACCTATAGGTCTCCGACGCGGACGACCGGCAGTATGCACCCTTCATCAACAGACGGAATATTGGGAACCACGTCACCCAAAATATGCAGAAGCAAGTGTCGGCCCAGATGTTTCGGAGCGTTCAGGGTATCCTGACTCTCGTCTTCCTCGAGACCCTCACTTGTCTGATCTGCACCGCATTCCGGCACTCCGTCATGCTCCCCGCCCGTCTCACCACGGAATTCCCAAAGCTCCCGCACCTGACTGCATGTAGTAGATGCCTGGCTGATATCAATCGGATAACTTCCTCGGGATTCGCCCCCTTCAGTCTCACGGACCTGCATATACACTGCTCTTCGAAACCCTCCGCAGCGATACTCAATCTCTTGTGCCCCGTGTTCGCCTCAGGGATTGTCGCCGACAAGCACGAGCTCGCGTATGTGCACTTCTCGGGCATCCTTATCGACTCCAGGTGCCCTGAGATCCTGCGGCGGACTCTATGCAGGGTCGGGGACACCCAAACACCCCTTTGGGTGGGATCCGTCAGGACCGGTATGCTATTTGGCGTCTAGTGCTTCGCACTTGAGCCAGCGGGACGGGGTGCCAAACGAGTGGCAGTAGCGTGTACTCGCAGTGAGACAGCTCGCAAATGAGATGGGGACTTTCAAGCCGCTGCCTGCAGTGGTCTACGAGTCACTACATGCAACAAGTATACCTCAAGCATGAAATCCCTGTTGCTTTATTGATGTCCCCCCAGATTATCAGCGACAACCGTGAGGGTGATTACCTCCACAGCACGCTTCCTGATAGGAACGGCACCGGCTCGCCGTCTGCCTGACCAAGGTATAAGGAAACCGTAGTAATATGTACAAACTGACTGCTTGGCTTAGGTGTCCAACACGATCTCTCCGCCCGCGGACCTCGTGTTCCAGCTACCCTCCAGGGTCAGCGTCGGCGACGGCGGGACCAAGAGCGGGACGGCGCAGGTGCTGAGCGGCTCGGAGGAGGCATCAAACACTCCCAGCACCCCAACTGCTGTCAACTCCGTCGCTTCCGTCATCGCTGTTGGACAAACTGTTCATTATACCGCTTCTGGTTTTAGCGTGAGTGTCTTGACCGTCCCGATTCATTAGTAGGGACGCCTCTACGTGCAAACGATGTATCCTGCCGTTTAGTTGTAATGCCCTTCCAATCACTACTATATTCTGTCAATATATCTCCCTTCGTCCATGCAGTCGCAATCGCCAGTTTGGGACGAATTAATGAAGAGACTTCAAGAGAGTAGATCTAGAGTCGTGCCGTCGTGGTCCGGCCGCGATAATTATCCAGTAGCTGCAGTTGTGCCTCTTGAATCACAACTGCCACCGGTACCATGATGTGCTCGCGCTGTAGCCTCTTGATCTTCCTCTGGTCCACAACAGGGAAACAGCTGAAGTACTTGGGCGCTACGGACGTTCGTAATGGCCCCTATTACTGTGAAGTACGAAATCCAAGGAATACCGTTTCTGCGCGTATATGGCATGGGATCTGCCCCATACTATGAATACCAATGCCCGGTGTTTCATTCAGATCCGTATCATCTGGCAATCATGAACTGATATAGTACTATAAGTGCTATAAGGACGTGCTCAACTCAGGGTACCTCTTTCTTATCACCCAACTAACCACCACCGTAGCAGTCGACGGGCATATGGATACCCTTCCTCCTGAAATCCTCCTCGACATCGTCTCGTCCGCGTGCTGCGACGGGGGACCGACAGCTTGCTCGTTGCGTTTCGTATCAAAGCACTTGTGCACGCTGACGGAGCCATACAGGTTTAGGTCCGCCGCGCTGGCCGGCGAGAAGCAGACTAGACGCTTCCTGCGAGCGCTGGCAGCCGCACCCCGCGAAACACAACAGACCGTCCGCAATCTGTTCGTCTCTGACACGACGAGTGACAGCCAGTACGCGCCCGACGTACTCGGACGGAGTGTCGGGGACGATATCACCCGAAAAATGCGGGAGAAAACTGGGCATGACATGGCTCGGCGTGTCCAGACTATCCTTACCCTCGTCGCGCCGTCCCTCGAGACACTTACATGTCTCTTTCATAACCCATCCTGGCAATTCGCCATGTTCCCTGCCCTCCTCACCACGGAGTTCCCGAGGCTCTCGCACCTGACGCTGCGTCTGGTGGAGGACCGGTTCCCGTCGCTCCGCAACCTGCCGCAAGAGCTGCCGCCCTCCATGCCAGGTCTCACGCATTTGCATATCCTGTGTGCGTGGTGGCCCTCGACGGGTGTAATCGAGAGCTTGTGCCTCGTGTTCTCCCCGAGGATTGTCACGGACAAGCTATCCTACGTGCGGTTCTCCGGCATCCATCTTATCTCAGGCTCGGGGTCCTGTGAGATCCTGCGGCGTGTACTAGGCAGGGATGGCGACGCCAAAGCACTGGCATCTCTCCCCATGGGATCTATCAGAGCCGATGTCCTTCCAGACATCCAACGTTTTGTACTCGAGCCAGTGTCGTGGTACCCGACCGAATCGCAGTATGGCCCACTCAGTGCATTTGTCATTCCGCAAGTGAGGCAGCTCGCAGAGGAGATGGGGAATCTCAAGCTGCTGCATGCAGCGCCATTGCGGAAGTACAGGGAGTCTAAGAAGATTTGGCTCGAAGTACAGGCGGGCAAACGCGCCGTTTCGGTGAGCCGCTTGTTATCCTTTGTTGGCGTATTTGCGAGCCTTTCATATATATTACACAATTTAGGATGACTACCTTGGGGAAGCATCTGCTAAGCCGGTGAGCTGCTGCATCTGTCCCTGCTTGGGCTGTCGAATTTCTAATGGCTTTCAGGATGAGTTGGAATTGTCTTCGTAGACGTTGTCTGGTTTATGACGGCTGTGCCCTGTTCCGCTAGACTGTTCCTTCACTGGGCTTCATTCGCCAATGACCTGGTTCTAGCCTTATCATTCTGGCCAATCGTTAGTTATACTTTCTCTCATCCGCGTGCATTGCATTGCATTACTCCCGAATCTCTACGACCTGAGGAACCTCTTTCGGCACTCCGACTTGTCCCAATAGGATCATCAATATCCCGCCAGCGAAGCCAAAATACTGACAAGCCGCACACGTTCGCCCATCAGGTGCGATAGTCCAACATGCACTCTGACAGCTGTCACTGATTAATTGACGCTGGCTGATTGATCCGGGTGCCCATCTATCAACCTCCCCCCCGCGGATACTATCAGCTAATCACAATGTATCGCATCCTAGTGGAACTGGGCTGTCTCTCGAAGACGGGGGTAAATCCTTGGCTGTCCACGAGCCCGCACTTATGCGAGCCACTCTCCTCCGCGGTTCTCGTCGGAAGGCGCTTCGCGCCTCGCAAACGCTCCCATCCCCGCCACTCCGCCTCTTGTGTGCGCATGGTCCCGTCAATTTTGCTACACCCCCATGTGGTCTCCTATCCACACTCGGGGTATAAGTAAGTTGCGTGGTGTGCTGTGACCATGGCCAGTGCAAGCCAAGTTCAATCTAGCGCCATGGCCATCCTCCACCTCGCTCTTGCTTTGGCGACCGCGACCGCCTCGGTCTTAGCTGCGCCGCTGCACGCTCTCGAAAAGCGCGCCCTGCCCAAGGGCATCGACGTCTCGGGCTACCAGCCGAACGTGGACTGGACCACGGTCAAGGCGAACGGCGTGTCGTTCGCGTATATCAAGGCTACCGAGGTCTGTCGGTTGTACCTTGCATTCCCGTTGCTATACAGGCTGAATGAGCGGTGGGTGCGCAGGGGACAAGTGAGCTCTGAGATGTCTTGGGCTATAGTGCGGACACTTCATTCACGCTGTTTCGCTGGCAGGCTACGTCAGCTCGGCGTTCTCGAGCCAGTACACTGGCGCGACGAATGCGGGGCTGATCCGGGGTGCGTACCACTTTGCGCACCCCGACGCCAGTGAGTCTGCCCCCCCTTTCCTTCCCTCTGGTACCCGTGAGTAACCCGCTGTGCAATAGGCTCTGGGGCCACTCAAGCGAAGTATTTCCTCGCGCACGGAGGTAAGCCTGGTGATAAACTCGTGCTAGCGTGGGATAGCCTGACCTATTGAACTTGAAGGCGGGTGGTCGGGCGACGGGATCACCCTCCCAGGCGCGCTCGACATCGAATGTGCGTACTAGTATGCCCTCGCGGCTCACATATGCACTGGGACTGAGGAGGACCCAGATAACCCGAACGGCGCGGAGTGCTACGGCCTCTCCGCGTCCGCGATGGTCTCCTGGATCAAGGACTTTTCCAACACGTACCACTCCTCCACGGGCAGGTGCGCGCCCGCTCTCGTCCCGCCTCTCTTCTCCCTGCTGACCACGTCTACTATGGAACGCCAGATACCCCGGTACGTAGCCCCTTTCCCCGCCCGCACCAACCTGACGCGCGCGGGCAGTGATATACACGACGACGGACTGGTGGACGACGTGCACGGGCAATAGCGCGTCCTTCGCGTCGACGAACCCGCTGTGGCTCGCGCGGTACGCGTCGAGCGTGGGCACGCTCCCCGCAGGATGGATGTGCGTCCATCTCCAAGCCCCGTCTCCACCCGCCCCCCCATCATCGATCATCTCCCGCCTCCCTTATCGATATCGACGTCAGAACCACCGCTCACCCATGTTGTGACAGCTACGAGACATTCTGGCAGTACGCGGACTCGGGCGCGAACCCCGGCGACCAGGACTACTTCAACGGCGACGCGGCGGGGCTGAAGCGGTGCGTGCATGCATTCTCCATCCCCGTGTTGGTGGATTCAGGAGGCTGATCGCACAACTCATATGCCGGTGCAGGATGGCGACCGGCTGAGATGCCCATGCCCGTCTGGACTACTGCAGCTGCGAACATGGTGCCTGGGGGAGTTGGAGAGATGTAAGTACCGACATAGTAATCATAACATACTCTGCACTCGGAGATCGTATACCACATGCATATTCTGCACTCCAATCCATTGCGCCACCACCCCTTTCCGACATGTATTTCAGCCATAACTACTGCATATTTCTCTTTGGTGTAAAGACAAAGATTGTAGTAGTTCACGAGCTCTATCTAACTGTGAACATTGTCCAGAGCGAAGTTGATCTCGTTTTACTAGGAGGCATTCAACATTTGTAGTCAAATCTATCTTCACAAGCAGGGGGGGAGGCATAAAATGACTACCCAGTAAAAATCTCCATGAAAATCTCACTATTTTAGAGCCCAGAATTGAGGAAAGTGACTACATGGTTGCAGAGATATAAGGCCAGAAAGTTGGGATTTTGGTGTATGAGTTTTACACCAAAACCCCCATCTTTCGGCCCATGTACATATCTCCACAATGGTGTAGTCAAATCAGGGATATTCTGGGGTCAAAATTACTCAGACTTTTGAGCTCTTTCTAGCTATGAGCATACCAGAACCATTGGGGGGAGATTAGCAGTACTACAAGTTTACATCTTACACCAAAGAGAAATATGCAACCATTGCTGAGATACAAGTTGTGCAAGGGTGGTGCAATACTTTTGCGGTTCACTGTATATTACGCCCCAAACCACTTGGACGCTCATGATCATTAACCCATCACCCATCACCCAAGTACACCTTCAACTAACCCATAAACCCTATTAATAGTAACCCAACCCAATGTACACCAAACAACCCGCTATTAGATACGACTTATAAATCAACCCGACCGAGACCCAAAACCCATGCATGCAAAATGACCCAAAACGATGCGAAGATGAACGGATGGATGCATGCATGTGCACAGCCGAGAAACCCATGATGACGATGACTCCAGGAAAGACAGTCTAGTCCCGAATGCAGAATACTAGTATACTCTTTCGCACCAAGCCGTGGACCCGTAATCTTCCAAGACAGAGACGACCGCATAGCTCTAGTGTACTCCCGAGGACCCGATGTGAACGACCAAGAACGTGACGAGGGGAATAAATTATGCCGCGAGTGGGAGCGGCCCCGATAGCGAGGGCGTGTGCAGAGTAGAATTGGGGGCGCGAATCCAGGAGTGGGAGCAAGACACCAGACACCAAAGAGCAGCCAGCGAGCGCCCGCGCTCAATACATCCTCCACGGCGACGTCGCACTCACCGCGCTATCCACCTACAGCGACCACGTCAATCACTACACCCTCTTATAAACACCCAAAACGCATCAAAACCAGAGAACACTCACCTTCACCTTCTCGGCGCCCTCCCCACCCCCAATCACCTCCCCAAACTCCGGCAAAAACCCCACGCCCGCCTCCCACCTTGTCCTCCATGCCTCATACCCGCCTGCCCCGTCCGCGGGCGGGTCGAGCACCACCAGCGTGCCTGTCCCCGCTCCCCGCTTCTCCCCATCCCCGACAAGGCACGCCAAAGCAGCCTCGAACACGGCCCCCCTCGCGAGGCTCTTCAGCTCCGCCAGCATCTCGCGCTGGTAGACGGTCCACCAGGGCACGCTCCCCCCGGGCGGCGCGGGCTGGACGTACACCGCCGCCAGGCGCGGCCCGCTCTCCTGGTCGTCTACGTCGGTGCCGTCGCCCCCAAAGTCGGCGACCGCCGCCGTCGAGTCGGTGTCCGACTGCGTTTCCGAGTCCTCCTCCCCCTGCGCCTCCTCGACTAGCGTCATCACGCTCTCCGCCCTCCCGCGCTTCCCCCCGCGGAGCCCCAGCATCCGGCGCACGGCGCCCGCGCACGCCCTGCCCAGCCTCACATTCGTGAACCGCACCTCTCTCAGCCCCGGCGCACACGCCGCGGCCATCTCCACCAAGCCCGCCGGCTCGTCGGCCATGGTCGGGGGCACGCCAAACGCCAGATGCAGGTGCGTCAGCGCGGGCATCGTCGGCGCGCGCGCGGGGTCCATCTGCGCGCAGTACGCGATGGCCGTGAAGCGCACCTCCAAGACGCGCAGGCGCGGGAAGGGCGTGTCGAGGAGGACGCGGTAGGGCGTGATGTGCGGGTTGTACGAGAGCACGCTGAGCGCGCGCAGCGCGGGCGCGACGAGCGGCAGGAGCGCGATGTACGCCTGGAGGAGCGCGTGCGCGTCCGCGCGGGCGTCGCAGGCGCAGCTGCGGAGGACGTCGTCCACGCCGGGCACGCGCGCCGTGCGCGGCGGGAGGTCGCAGAGGAAGAGGTGCGCGACCTTGCCCACGTACGCGCGCCCTTCGGACTCGGCGCGCGCCTTGTGGGCCTCGAGCTGGGCGATGAGCCGGCGGATGGCGGGCAGCCCGGAGACGTGCACGGTGTGCAGAGAAAAGGGCGCGGATGCGGAGTTGAAGGAGCGGGAGACGGCGGCGAGGGCGGGGTAGGCGGTCGGCGCGAGGGCGATGATGTGGCCGAGGACCTCCGGCGGGAGGTCGAGGATGGACATGGCGGGCGCAGAGCGGTGGGCTGGCGATAACGACTGTGGCGGAGGTATATAAGTGCTCGCTGCGAATATCAGGATCGTGTGATTGCCGCGAGCGTGGACTTGGAGGGTCCTCGCCGACGCCGACGACGACCCTGAACCGCTCCTCCGGGCTGTTCTGTGCAGCGAGCAAGTGGTTCGATGAGCAGCCGGTGGTGGTCTTGGCCGACAACCCGGAGAAATGAGTCGACGACGGGGGGCATTGTGCGACTGTCAGCAGCGGGCCAGGCGGGGTTGCCCAGACGGCGGGCCGATTAGATGAAACACTTGGTGAAACGGGGCACAGATAAGATAAGCCGCCGGCGACTTCATCGGCCGATGCATTCCGGAGATTCGGGCCGCTCTATCCGACGGAGTGCTCTCTCATCAACAAATGCATGGGCCAATGACAAACGGATACCGTGACACGAACATACCTTTCACGTTCATCTCCTCGTCTAGTGTTCTGCTCATCTGATGTCTTATGAAGCCGAAGCACCGACCGACTCGAGCCACGACTCCGAGCATCGAAACAGCTGCAGGACAGGAACGGAGGCCTAGACGAGCGAACTGGAGGAGGATCGAGGACGATGCAAGTTGGGAGAAAAGGGAGATCAGTGCGCAAATGCCAGCAGGGATACTCTTATAGCGGTCCCTGGCCAGGAATTTGATCGCGACGCGTACGTAGGCAGCACTCTCTCCTGACGTCACCGCGTCATTGTGAACTATAAAGACAGCTAACACAAGCGCTATGTCGACTCAAGTGCAGCAGCAGGACTTTGACTAGCGGGGAATAAGCAAGGCTCGCGGGCGGGCCCCCTACGAATTCGAGATGTAATATCGCAACACAGTGGTATATACACCCCCCTCCCTCCATCGTGCTCCCCAACGTTCAGAGCACTTGACGCCACTGCTCGTACACATTTCATCCAGTAGCCATCCTACACCACCACGCCACCCATCAGCACACCACGATCTGGCAAAAGGGGAGTATGCACACACCGCTTCAGCCCCGCCGCGTCGCCGTTGAAGTAGTCCTGGTCGCCGGGTTCGCGCCCGAGTCCGCGTACTGCCAGAACGTCTCGTAGCTGTATCATTAGCTTAGCTCTGACTTCCAAATTTCGAGAGCCGGCAGAGGGGAAGGGCGGGCCAGACTCAGACTCACCTCCATCCCGCGGGCAGCTCGACGCGTGCCGTGTGAGCCTCAGCCGCGAACGCCGCGCTGTTGCCCGTGCACGTCGTCCACCGGTCCGTCGTCGTGCATATCACCGCCCGCGCCCCGCACACGCTCCAGTTTTGTACACCATGCGACGCGGAGTTACGTGCCGGGGTATCTGTCCGTGCAGAGCGGTTAGTTCGCGGGGTAGGAGGAGGAGGAAGAGGGACGGGAGGGGACGCACCTGCCCGTGGAGGCGTGGTGCGTGTTGGAAAAGTCCTGGATACAGGAGACCATCGCGGCCGCGGACAGGCCGTAGCACTCCGCGCCGTTCGGGTTATCTGGGCCCTCCTCAGTCCCAGAGCGGTGCGGGCATGCTGGCACGCACATTCGATGTCGAGCGCGCCCGGGAGAGTGATCCCGTCGCCGGACCACCCGCCTTCAAGTTCAATAGCTCAGGCCATCCCAGGCTAGCACGAGTGTATCACCAGGCTTACCTCCGTGCGCGAGGAAATACTTCGCTTGCGTGGCCCCGGAGCCTGATGCACAGCGGGTTACTCACGTTCACAGGTACCAAAGAGAAGAGAAGGGAAGTGAAGGAAGGGGGGGGCAGACTCACTCGCGTGGGGGTGCGCAAAGTGGTACGCACCCCTGACCAGCCCCGCATCCGTCGCGCCGGTGTACTGGCCCGAGAACGCCGAGCTGGCCAGCAAAACAGCGCGAACGAGTATAGCCCCAGACATCCCGGCGCTCACTTGTCCCCTGCGCACCGACCGCTCATTCAGCCTCCTGTATACAGCAACGGGAACGCAAGGGAAAACGACAGACCTCGGGAGCCTTGATATGCGCGAACGCCACGCCGTTCGCCTTCACGGTACTAGTATTCCAGTCCACGTCCGGCTGGTAGCCCGAGACGTCGATGCCCTTCGGCAGCGCGCGCTTGTCCAGCGTGTTGGTATGCAGGGGCGCGCCCCGCACGGATGCAGCGGCCGTCGCGAGGGCCACGAGGTGGAGGATCGCCATAGCTAGCGCGTGGGCTCTGAGTCTGAGCGTCGAGCGGTGCGGGTCTTATACCCCGAGGACTCGCGAGCCCATATGGAGGCGGTAGCAAAAGTGACGGCACCATGCGCACAGAAGAGGTGGGTCGCGGGGATGGGAGCCGCGCAGCGCCTTCCGACGAGGATCGCGGGGGAGAGTGGCTCGCATATATGCGGGCTCGAGTGCATGTCGGACTATCGCACCTGATGCATGATGGGCGAACGTGTGCGGCCTGTCGGTGATTTGGCTCTGCTGGCGGAGTATCGATGATCCTCCTGGGACTGGCTCGAGTGCCGAAAGAGCTTCTCGAGGTGGCAGACAGCGGGGGTAATGCAATGCACGCGGGCGAGAGAAAGAAGTCGGACGGACGATTGGCTAGGAAGGTGACACGATCAGGCTACACTCAGGTCGTTGGGGAATCAATTCAGGTCATGAATTCAGTAGCACTCGAATAGCCATCACGAATCGGACAACGTCAATGAAGACAGTCTCAAGTCATGCTGAAAGCAGTCAGATTCATGATTCGACCCAATATGCAGCATATGCAGCAGCTCACCGGCTTAGCAGACGATTATCTAAGGTAGTCATCCTAAGTCGAGTGATACATATGAACTGGTTCGGATATACGCCAACGAAGGATAACAGGCGGCTTACCGAAACGGCGCGTTTCCCCGCCTGCACTTCGAGCCAGATTTTCTTGCACTCCGAGTACGGCCGCAGCGGCGCTGCAGGCAGTAGTTTGAGATTTCCCATCTCCTCTGCGAGCTGCCTCACTTGGAGAGTGACAAACACACTGAATGGGCCATGCTGCACCCCAGTCGCCCCATTCGGTGGGTACCGCGACGCTGGCTCGAGTACAAAGCGTCGGATGTTTCGTAGTACATAGGCTCTGGTAGATCCCACGGGGAGAGGTGCTTCGGCGTCGTCGTTCCTGCCTAGTATCCGCCGCAGGAACTCACTGGACCCCAAGAGAAGATGGATGCCGGAAAAGCGCACGTAGGACAGCTTGTCCGCGACAATCCTGGAAGAGAACACGAGGCACAAGCTCTCGATTACACCCGTCGAGGGCCACCACGCACACAGGATATGCAAGTGCGTGAGGGCTGGCATCGAGGGCGGCAGGTCCTGCGGCAGGTTTCGGAGCGACGGGAACAGGTCCTCCGCGAGACGCAGCGTCAGGTGCGAGAGCCTCGGGAACTCCGTGGTGAGGACGGCGGAGAACATCGCGAATTGCCAGAACGCATTGTGGAAGAGACACGTGAGCGACTCGAGGGACGGCGCGACGAGGGTGAGGATAGCCTGCAACCGCCGAGCCGTGTCAAGCCCAGCTTGCTCCCGCATTTTTCGGGTGATATCATCCCCGATATTCCGGTCGAGGATGTCCAGCGCGTACCGGCTGTCATTCGTCGCGTCGGAGACGAACAGATGGCGGACGGTCTGCTGTGTTTCGCGGGGTGCGGCTGCCAGCGCTCGCAGGAAGCGTCTAGTCTGCTTCTCGCCGGCCAGCGCGACGGACCTAAACCTGTATGGCTCCGTCAGCCTGCACAAATACTTTGATACGGAACGCAGAGAGCAAGCTGCCGGTCCCCCGTCGCAGCACGCGGACGAGACGATGTCAAGGAGTATGTCAGGAGGAAGGGTATCCATATGCCCGTCGACTGCTACGGTGGTGGTTAGTTGGGTATGATAAGAAAGAGGCACCCTGAGTGAGTTGAGCACTGGCAGGTCCTTATAGCACTTACTTATCTATAATCTTCTATAATACATAATACAGTTCCCTTTCCCACGGCAAGCTGTGGCGTCTCGCGACTTCGGAACGGCCTGAGGCCAGTGCTCGACGCTCAAGCATCTTTCTCCTCACGCCAGACTGCGATGATTTGGGCTACAGCCCACCATAAGTGTGTCACTACAGACCCAGTGGCCTATACAACTTGCCCGTAGTACTAGTAAGCAATGGTATGTCCCCTTGCATAAGCCAAGGCTGGAGCCATTGTCTCGGAGTTAACTCTGATGCCGGGACAGTTCAAGCTGCAGCGGAAACATATGGACATGTTCTTGCTATGTATTTAGTTACGAAATGGGGAGACACCACCTGAAATCTTGCACATCTCACATGGAGACTCCAAGGTGACCACCTAGCGGCCTTAAATTGTGGTACATGATACCCTCATCCTCTATAGAGAAGTACTAGGAAACTAAAAAGTAGATATGGGAATACCAAGATTACGTTAGCTGAATCCGGGCACGGTGACTTGCCCCAGATGCCACTTTTGGTTCTCAGTCCATGGCTCTTCAATGAGCTCTCTTATTGTTGCTCACAGCCCAGTGGCCACTCTGGACTGCTACTGTAGCCCAACTTACATACACATGGGCATTATAGAACTTGCACTGGGAATGATAGCATCCTATAGTCATGTGACAGTGACACCAAGGAAGCTGGGGGGCATGTCAGACACTGAGATCAAATGTTATGAGGCTTACTACAGTCAATGAGGGGGCAACATTGCAGCCAAGCTGTGATGTGGCCTGTAATTTATGCCATAGATACATAGCAGGTTACAGATAACTAAGGGGCTATATCACAGCTCTTGGACCCAATATGGCCCTGACATCCCATATCAAGACTTTCAGAGGAGATGAGAAATAATGGGGTTAATAAGTCAACCACGTCTTCAAGGTACACTTTCCTGGCCAATGACTGAGGCTCACTACCGTGCAGTATCGCACGGGTAGCTGCTGGTAGTACTATGGTGCGGGACACCTAGTCACCACCACTTCTGAACAACATTGATGGCACCCACAGATTTCGACCTTATCCTTAGCCGTCTTGGGGAAACACTCTATTATGATAAGGATCAATTCCACTCTCCCATAACACATAGTGGTCCGTGGACCCAGAAAGCTGGGTTTTCGGAGACTATGGGTTACCAGGGTGTAACAGAATGTGACATTGACGAGTAGCGTGACATGTGGCAGGGAGCACGGCATATGCCGGACGGTCTATGATGCCACATCATGGGTACCTCACTTGCGGGATGACAAACGCACTGAGTGGCCCATGCTGCCCCGCAGTCACCCCGTTCGGTAGGTACCACGACACTGGCTCGAGATATAGCGCTGTATGTTAGGAAGCATGAGAGGACCAAGACCGCACTGCTATTAACGGACGGTGAAGTTCGAGGCAACACAATGCACGCGGATGGGAGAAAGTAAGACGGACGATTGGTTAGGAAAGTGATACAATCGGGCTACACCCAGGCCGGTGGATGAAGTCGTGGATTAAGCAGCACGCGAATAGCTATCGCGAACCGGACAACGTCAATGAAGACAGTCTCAGAAATTCGACAGCCCAAGAAGCGACAGACGAAGCAGCTCACCGGCTCGGCGATCGATCCCCCAAGGTAGTCACCCTATGCTGAGAGTGATATATATGGGCTGGCTCGGAAATGCACCAACGAAGGATAACAAGCGACTCACCGAAACGGCGCGTTTGCCCGCCTGCACTTCGAGCCAGATTTTCTTGCACTCCCAGTACGTCCGCAATCGCGCTGCATACAGCAGTTGGAGATTCCCCATCTCTTCTACGAGCTGCCTCACTTGAGGTATGACGAACGCACTGAATGGGCCATGCTGCCCCTCAGCCGCCCCGTTCGGTGGGTACCACGACACTGGCTCCAGTACAAAGCCTTGGATGTCGGGAAGTACATCGGGTCTGGTGGACCCACCGGGAGAGGCGCTTTGACGGCGCCATCCCTGCCAAGTACCCGCCGCAGGATCTCACAGACCCCGAAGCAAGATGGATGCCGGAGAAGCGCACGTAGGATAGCTTGTCCTCGGAGAGAACACGGGGTACACGCTCTCGACCACACCCGCCAAGGGCCACCACGCACACAGGATGTGCAAGTGCGTGAGGGCTGGCATCGAGGGCGGCAGGTCCTGCGGCAGGTTGCGGAGCGACGGGAACCGGTCCTCCGCGAGACGCAGCGTCAGGTGCGAGAGCCTCGGGCACTCCGTCGTGAGGAGAGCAGGGAACATGGCGAATTGCCAGAACGCATTGTGGAAGAGACACGTGAGCGACTCGAGGGACGGCGCGACGAGGGTGAGGATAGCCTGCAACCGCCGAGCCGTGTCAAGCCCAGCTTGCTCCCGCATTTTTCGGGTGGTATCATTCCCGATATTCCGGTCGAGGATGTCGAGCGCGTACTGGCTGTCACTCGTCGTGTCAGAGACGAACAGATTGCGGACGGTCTGTTGTGTTTCGCGGGGTGCGGCTGCCAGCGCTCGCAGGAAGCGTCTAGTCTGCTTCTCGCCGGCCAGAGCGACGGACCTAAACCTGTATGGCTCCGTCAGCCTGCACAAATACTTTGATACGGAACGCAGAGAGCAAGCGGCCGAGCCCCCGTCACAGCACGCGGACGAGACGATGTCGAGGAGTATTTCAGGAGGAAGGGTATCCATACGCTCGGCGGCCGACTGCTGTAGTAGACGTTGGGGGGTAAGAAAGAGGCATCCCGAGTAACTTGAACAGGTTCTTATAATACCGATATCAGTTCATGATTACCAGATGATACGGTGGTGAGTAAAACACCGGGCGTACAGATTTGGGCATCTGTCTCGCCATATGAGCGTAGAAGTGCAGATCTGGTGCGTACTCTCTGGAGCTTCCAGGTTTCGAGAGGGGATCTTGCCAGCATTTGCCATGCACGGTACCTCGACCTTTTCACTGCTGGGGACGAGAGCAAGAGTCGGGTGGCGGTGGCAAGTACAACATGACGAGAGCTATGATGATGATCCAAGGGGCAGAACTACAGCTATAATTAACTCAGCAGGTCCACACATTCATTCCCTTGTAAACCCGCGACCGCGTGGTCGAAACAGGGACCAGAAGCCAGAAGGTGTTTGACGAATGTCAGACGTACGCGGCTCGTCGATGATCTGGTCCCGCTGGGAGTATGTTGATGATCCCTGCGAGTCTGGGTTTGAGCGCCTCAAGTGGCGGAGCAGGACGAAAAACTCACTAGTACACGAGAGTGAAGTTCGGCGGCTTGTGGCCTGACTGTATCAGTTCCCCAACCATTCGTTGGCTCACTTTTCTCCCGTTATTCGTGCATGTAGTCCAGAGTCCCGAGTCCAGCAGAATCAGACAACAGCAACGAAGACAATTTCGAGTCATTCTGGAAGCAGTCAGACGAAGAAGCGCACGGAGACAGGCACCATCGTGAATGCACTAAATGTAACCGAGTAAAGGTACGGAATATGCTCACCGGAACAGTGCGTTTGGCCCCCCTGCACTTTGAGCCATATCATCTGTGATTCCAAGTACGTCCGCGATGGCGCTGCAGGCAGCAGCTTGAGATTCCCCATCTCACCTGCGAGCTGCCTCACTTCGAGCACACCCTGCCACTCGTTCACCCCATCCTGCGATTCAATGCGGCTGGCTCCAGTACAATGCAGGACACCCTGGACGAGGTTGTTCAGCGCCACATGGACTGGCGGCTGGATGGATTCTGCGCGAAACCAATGGAGGCATCCCACGGGACGGAGTCGCGTCTCTGGATTCAGAGAGGCGCCATCGGTGTCTATCCGAAAGCGTATATTGGATAAGCAGAGATACAGGGAGCAGAACCGAGGCGATGCGACAGATGAAAGCTCCAACGTGGACGATATGTCACGCACGAGATGGTTGGGTCAAAGTTATACCGTGCACCAAGAATATCACCGTTGGCAATCGGACGTATGGGCTGGGCGAGGGCCATTCTTACCACTCGGATGAGCCAGGAGATCATCGTCGCCTGTCACATGTACTGTGAGTACCTCCAAGTCGTGTCGAGTCAGTAACAGATCAGGTTGAGGACGCCTTTTCCAGGCCATACAAAACGTACTCACATTACCGATCCTCTTCCCAGTAAGAGATGTGAGGAGCCTGAGGAAGAGGATCACACCGCTGCTACGCATGACTGAATTGTCTGGAGAAGAGCCCGTATGGCGAGAAGGGATGGCAAACAGCGTTCAAAGAGTCACAAGAGAACACGAAGACGATGTTCCACAAGGGTATGAGAAGACGGCAGCATGAATTCCTGCTGAAGGAAGCGAGCCGCGAGAAAGCCTTTGCGCAAGCCCAAGCCGCCTGGGAACGCAGATGGCAATGGCAAGCGTACTTGGCATCGCAGAGCGACGAATATCTCGACTCTCGAGACCAGAGGGCCGAGGACTTCCAAGTAAGCCAGATGAACCGCGACACAAACTTCTACAGCCACCAGCGAGACGAGGCGAAAGAGATTCCACGAGTTCAGCGAGGAGGGGAGGGACGAGTTCTGAGAGAATCAGAGCGAGCGGAATTCGTATGGAGCATGTCTCCAAGACGCCTGCGGGGCCTAGGGAACCAGAGGCTGTGTATCGCGGTAGAAGCGAACCCGGGCGAGGATTGACGTCGCGATCACTACTGGCGCCGCTATCAGCTTGGTAAAGCAGCAAGCATGGATGGTACTGCGAAGTCCTGTTACGGTGATGAGCGTTCTATTGGGACCTACAATACGTACGAAGTTCGTGGCACAAGCTGAATTGGTCATAATTTATCAGGAAGTAACAAACACCGCGGCGTCGGGAAATGACCTCGTTATGCAACATAGCCGTCGAAGGCCTCAAACGAGAGTAACGGACGAATAAACGAGACTGAAGGATCGGCAGAAGGATGATACGAAGCCGCACCATTGGTCCAAGTCCGCTGCCCGAGGTACGCCACGGAATCCTTTGCGGACGGACATTGAATAGACAACCGCTTCTTTTATCTTCCACCATGACATACCATACACCTGTCGGCTCTCGGGGCGTGCGTATAAGGCGACGGTCGAGCGCCGCCGTGGCAGCGCGGTGCCAGGAACTGCTAGGACTACATACAGCCTCGCAGCGTGATAGCTTGTAATAAGGCAGGCAAGTAGACCATGTTCGTATATTGAAAACCCGCTATAGACAAGCTTGCGGCGATTCTCTTGAGCAGGATCAAACAGAGCGCGCTCTACTCCCCACAAGAGTAGTTATTGCCAATTCTCCACGATGAGTAGAAGATACTGCACAGCCCACAAGGTTTTGAGACGACCAGAGATACAGCGGGCTGAGAAAGCACGCAAAGATTCCATTCGAGGTATTCAGTGCGTCTGGAGAGTGGCGTTGAATATCCGGAGTCAACACCAACAATTACCATAAATGATTGAATGCGGGCGAGCTCGGGCACCGGCACTCACACAGTGCCCTCATTCCGACTGGCTTGTGCGCGTCCTGCTGTAGGATTGGTGGAGCTCAGAAAAGTTCAAATGCACTGTGGTGCTGCGATAGAAGGACACGAATTATCCACCTCTGACGCCCCTCCCAGACCTCGCCATGAGCGTGAAGACCACCACCCAGCGAAGCCTCGACACCTTCGGCAAAACCACTACTTCCGTCGAGGTATGTCTTCGTTGTATCTACGGAGAGCTGAACGCACGCTGACGAATGATAATTCTCAGCTAAAATGCCCAGATGACACGACCGGCGTCGAACGCATCATGCTCGCAGCGCAGGGCGACCTGCAGCGGCTTCTCAGGTAAGCCCCATCTCTGTACGCGTTCCATTCTAAACGACACTGACGCGTCCCCAGCTGCTTCTTCGGGCGCCCCATCTCCGTCGAATGCGTCTCCGCACGCACCTCCCCGCGCTCCGCGCCCGCGTCGCCGCAGCACCCCATCACGCAGGACCGCCAGGTCCAGCTCCTCTGCTCGGGGCGCATCGTGTGCGTCGCGACCTCTCGCGTCGTGCTCACCTCGCCCGAGTGCGAGCGCCTCTTCCTCGACGAGAAGTTCGCGATCGGGCAGCTCTTCCGCCACATGCGCGTGTCGCCTAGGTTCACGCTCCTCGATGTGCAGACGCGGGTCAACGCGCGCGGGAAGAGGGAGCTCGAGAGACGGTATATGCTCGAGGCAGAGGGGGTGTCGTGTGATATCACCGAGCTGTTCCCTGACAGGGATATGTTTGTCCTTGGGACGGCGTGGCTCGATGCTGTTGACGAGCCCGCCCCTGAAAAACGGCACACAGTGTCGAATGTGGTTACTAAGGACCAGGCCGTTGAGTTCACCCCCCACGGCCTACTTCTCGCGATGATTCTGTCATTTATCTTTGGCTCATATTGCTTCACTCGTGTCGGACTATGATGTGCATGTTAGCGATTTAGACCATGTAGACTAGTTTGGGGCACTCTGCAGTGTATATAGACATTTAATGGCTTTAAGATACTATTTCCTCCGCCTAGACAATGACACAGGACTGCGATAGGAGATCCAGAGTGAAGTACGCAGCATATCCTATATAATATGGTTAACTACCTGCCAAATACGATAATGTGGAAGTGACGGATTTCGGGTAGTTGGATAATAGAATCTCTGCTCCTGCTTCATATATCGTCTGCCATTCATTTGACGGAAAGCGTGCTGAGGCTATTCTGCGATCAGTCAATCATCTCACTGCTCTCTGCTACGGCCTCCGACAACGTGGGAAACTGCGTGGTCGCCTCTCAGTCATTTGACATTTCCTTTTTCATTTCTTATTCGACGAGTGTACGTTTCGAACTCCCAACAGCTGGCAATAGGTCCTCTCTGCATAGTCCCGTGTCATAGTGCGGCCTATGCTGAAGTTCGTCCAAGGTTATCACCCCGGATGGCGTAGATGACTGATTGACACTGATAGCCTCTATTCGCTCAGTCTGTAGTTGGGGCAACGCTAAATATCTCCAGCTCAGCGCACTACTAGTCTGAATCGCGTCTTTCTTTCGACGGTATGTAACTATAGTACACGCTTGATTGACTGGAATTGAGGACAACCTCCACTAAGACTTGAAGTTCCCTGCGAGCGTCACTCGGGGCAAACTCGCCAAAGCTCCCAGCATTCATCGCGAATTGTGTCACTATCCCCTTGTTATGGCCCAGCCTACGCGTCCTACATTCACGCCTATCCCTTGTGACGCAGGCGATCTCCCATTCCACCCTCTACAATTTACCGGGATAGGGCAAACGACGCCGGTAATCAGATGTTCTGCTGATTTCCCTATGGACCTCGTAAGTCTCGGTCGTCCAGAATCCCCGCTCGAGCTGAAGTGATCGGACTTCACCAAGGGCAGTTTGAGACCGCCACTTCCCAAATCATCCACCACCCTGAGTACAACTCGACCCTCATCCTCCGCTCCGAAGTCGTCGCCGAGCACGCCCCTCCGTTCCCGCCTGCGCTGCCCGTACCGGCGCTGGACGGTTACGCTGCAGCGAAAGCGGTCCATCGCAAGCTGTTGCCCCGAAGGCCCGGGCGGGATGCGGGCCTGGAGCAATTGTGCACTATGTACGCGCTGGATCTGGACCCAGGCGCCCCGGGAGGCCCGCAGCACGGTGAGCAGATATCGGTGCTAGTCCTTTCGCCCCTCCTCGCACCCGGCACCTCGCTCCCGTACTACCACCCCGCCGTGTCGCACCTCGCCTTCCGCTACATCCCGTCCCCCTCCCCACCAGGATCGCATGGTCTGCTCTCAATCGAAGTCGTCCCCCTCGCTTCCCCTTCCCCTCCACCAGATATCGCGCTCAACAGCAGACTGTACCGCACGTGCCTTGCGCTGCTCGATACGCTGCATCGCTACGGCTGGGGCGCGCTGAGTAACTACAAAAAGCGCATGGCGCATGACAGGATTGTGCCGAGAGAGGCGTACCAGGACCTCTACCTCGTGATGAGGGAAAGACACAAGTGGCGCGTGGACGAGTGGTGCGAGGGCACGGATCCGCTGAAGCATGTCTTCGAGGTCAGTTATGAGAGAGTGGCTACAGAGACGCTCGGTTTTGACTGAGCCTCGACAGGATATTGGTATTGCGACGTATTTGATGCTGTTGTGGAAAGACACGTTTGCGTCTGCCACAGCTCCGACCGAGAATGTGGAGAAGGTGAATGTGGAAAGTGACAGACCATGGGACGACTGGCCTCGCCCTCCCGGAGGATTCCTCGACTTGGGGCACGTACAGCCTTCAACCCTTTTGATCATCAACTCACTCTATTCACTTCCATCAGCTGCGGGAACGGGCTTCTCGTGCACATCCTCACAGCCGAGGGCTACGCCGGCCACGGCGTCGACGTGCGCGCGCGCCTCTCCTGGTCGCACTACCCCCCCGCGACGCGCGCCGCGCTGCACGTGCACGCGCTCGACCCCACCTCCCCGGCGCGCGACCCGTACCTCGCCCCCGGCGTCTTCCTCATCGGCAACCACGCAGACGAGCTGTCGCCCTGGGTGCCCGTGCTCGCCGCCCTCAGCGGCGCGGCGGGGTACCTCAGCATCCCGTGCTGCGCGTGGGCGTTCGACGCGCGCTTCACGCGGTCGGCGGCGAAGGCGGCGCTGTTCCCGGTGCCGGCGCACGATTCGCGGTTCGCGGAGGAGTTGGGGCTCGGCGCGGACGGGAATAATACGAGCGCGTACGCGGCGTACCGGATTTGGCTCGCGGCGCTGAGTGCGTGGTGTGGGTGGGAGGTGGAGTGCGATGCGCTGAGGATACCGAGCACGCGAAATTGGGCGATTGTAGGTGAGTGGGCTGTGGTCTGCGCCCCGGTTGGGTGAGGCGTGCTGAGAATTGGGTAGGCAGGCGGAAAGGTGGTGAGGGGGAGGGCGTGGAGAATGCGAGGAGGATTGTAGATGAAGTGAGGAATAGAGCGGTGTTTAAGACTAGACGGCCGGAGGGCAAAGCTGGAGATCATTAGTGCGATCGCTACCGTCTTTCGACACTCGAAAATGTTGTGGCCTCACCCTACCCGCTTGAGCGCGACTTGAACGCAAGTACGTGCTCTGTCATCGCCAGTCGAACCGTGTCGTCACGACGTTCCTTCACGAATAGCCAGCGCCCACTCTATAGCTGATTCGAATCAAAAATGCATTGTAAGAATATACATACAATCAATGGTGCGATATATGATTAAGTTGTTACAGTCCTTCTATACATGCGATCGTCAACCTCTACACCCCATCGCTTAGAACTTGACCTTGGAGACGGTCTCGTAGAAAGTCTTGCCCTGGATGGTGGCAACCTCGAGCTCGAGGGGCGTGGGCTGGCGGGAGCCGTCACCGCCGGCGAAGGTGCCGGCGCCCCACGGGGAACCGCCGCGGAGCTCATTGAGGTTGGTGAGCTGCGCGAAGGTGTGCTTGTAGCCGAGGGGGACGTAGATGAGGCCGTGGTGGGCGAAGGTGGACATCGCCGCGATCGCGGTGGACTCCTGCCCGCCGCCGGGGGACGCGGTGGAGACGAACAGCCCGGCGTACTTGCCCGCGAGCGCGCCGGTCGCCCAGAGCTGGCCGGTGGCGTCCCAGAAGGCCTGTGTGCAGCGAGGAAGGGTGAGTGGGAGGGCTCTGATAAGATTAGATGCGGGCGTGCGTACCTTCCACTGCGCGGGGAAGTTGCCGTACCGCGTGGGGATGCCGATGAGGAAGGCGTCGAAGGTGGCGAGCTGCTCGGGCGTGATGATCGGGTAGTCGGGCTTGGGCGGGGCGTGGAGGAGCTTCAGGATGTCCTCGGACAGCGTCTCGGGGACCCTGGCGTCGTCGTCAGTATCCCCCCTCTCTCGAATGCAATCGGTGCATATACTCACTGGAAGATCTGGGCCTTGCCGCCAGCGCTCTCGATACCGGACTTGACAGCCTCGGCGACTATAGCAGATGGACGATCAGCGCGAGAACGAGGGCAAGTATAGCACAGGGGGTTACTCACGCTTGGCGATGTGGCCGTACAGCGAGTAGATAACAATAGCGACCTTTGGAGAAGACATCACGGCAGGTGCAGCGGGGGCAGTAGAAGCAGCAGCGGGGGGTTTCGAGTTGGAGGAGGCGGGCTGTTTCTGCTCGTCGTCGGTGAAGTTGGCCTTTTGGCGTCTCGATGGAAAGCACATTCGCGGTGCGGTGCCCTTTTATCCTGCAGCGGATTATCGCGCAATCATCAGTGCCCCCCGCCAATTGCCTTTTATCGCGCCCCGGGAAAGCAATGGAAACGGGCGTTCGTGAGACGACATGGCCCGCGAAGGGAATGGGCTCCTGCAGCTACAGCCACAGCGTGCTTGGAAATAGAGCTGAATCAGCACGTAAGCACGGTCGCGTCAGCTAAGTATGACGGTTGACTGCTATATTTGGCCGTTTCTTCTGGCGGTTGATCTGTTTTGGCTTGGCTTAGACTTCGGGACTGCCGGTTTAGGCAGAAAACGCTCGCGGGCGAAAGGAGGTGAGCTTTCGAGAACGATCGAGGGGTAACGGAGGACGTGCAGTCGCGGTCAGCGTGCACTCAGCTGTCTCGAAAAGTCTCGCTTGACTCTCGAACGTAAGTCTTGTATGTCAAGACCGCCTGTAACGAAACATGTCGGAAAATCTGGAAAAGACTGATAAGCCCTGACAGAACCTGACGGACTGATCAGGCATTATAATGATATGTTTCAAGGCTGATAAGCCCTTATCAGGTGTTGTCAGGTTTGGATTAGGTCGGGGCTTCTGGTGGTGCTGTAATATCACAGGAATTCTGTAGTATACATAGATCCTGTACGTCGGAAACATCTTGAAATACGGTCGTAGCCTTTACATGGGTTGAGTGTCTTAAAGGTGGCATGTTGACTACAGTAGCATTATAGTCTAAGTCTAAAGTTATGGCGAAATCTACAAGAGCCGTACGTCTATACGTCAGAGGACGTGAGCGCGAGCGACGGTATCCAAGTCCAGCTGCAGTCATTACGAGTCGCCCGGTAAGGCAGTATGTATGATGTATATATACCAATGTGAGACCCACACAACTGTTGTTGCGTAGTGTAGTAGTTATATCGTTAGTCTTTACATATATCATCATTGTTCAACTGAAGGCCGCTCGTTCGAATCAAAGTCGAAGTACCTGTATTAAAGTGACGTCTTAGATGGTGGTGTCGATGACCATCAGGTGGCGTGAGTGGCTCCTCCTTTTCTCATTTCTGGGACTCATGGCCTTATCCGGGCTTATCATGCCTTATAATGGCTTGTAACCCCCGTCAGGCCTGATCAGCCTGACGGAGGCTTACATGCGCTTTTCGATCATTTCTGAACCCGATAACTCTCCTCGAACCTGATTGACTTATCAGTGCATTATCTGGCATTGTATAGCAATATCATGCTTTTCTGATTTTTCCGACAAGTGTTCACATCGAAATGCAGGGGGAGGTTTGAAATCGACGGCGTTGAAGCCTCGTTTGAGTGTCGTAACCTGGGTTAGTTCTGACGTTTGATTTAGCATCCACTTGCTGTGGATGGCCTCATACATCCAACCCTAACCAGCGCGAGTTGCTATCCACTTGGTGATGACACCTTGAAGTTCAACTTCAACTTGAAAATATTATCTGTGCTAAATTCCGCGGCCGACTTTCATGCATCTCGGTGCCCTGCGAAAGCTCCTCAGGCTCATGCATCACTTCCTAGTCGATGCGCGCGGTTCGGGATAAACTGTCTTCGGATGAGCTGCGCGACAAATGCCGGGAGGTCTTTGAGTGATGGTATTCATGACATCTTATCTTTACACCGGCTCGTACTAGTCGACAGTGGTATCTATGATAGGCTAGTGTCAAGATCCTGGTATCTATTCTGGAGACATTATCATTATAACCGTATTCTCGCTGTCAGTTCAGACTACCTGAACTTCCAGATGGCGGGGACCGCTTTACTGTGGCTGAAAATGCCACAAACACGGGTAAGTAAGGCTCACGTCAACACCAACTCGTAAGGTTCCAAATCTGTCTGCGATCAAGCTCGAGTCAACATCACGAAATGGGATAGACGTAAGCTAATTAGAGCGTCGCGATCAACTGTGCAACTCAGCCTGTGCTAATATTCAGCCCCTCGGTGACCGCTTTGAACGACGAGCGTAGTAAATGATTCTGACGGCATGACATACGTCTAGGCTGCTTTCATGGAGGTTCCCGGAGATCGAGAGGGCGGGTACAAAAGGGCGCCTCCTCGCCCCAACCTCTTGCATCATCCTGACCTACAACGCCCATCCCTGTAAACTCGCCTCTGAAGAGAATCGCGTACCAGAACTCGAATCAGCTATGTCTTCCCCAAAAGTCGCCATCGTAATCTATTCGATGTATGGCCATATTGCCAAAAGTGAGTGTTTTGTCAGTGGGTCGCATGCGGAGTATGGTGTGCGGAGGAGCATGAGGCAGGGAATGGGCAGGGAGAGATGTCGGAGGCGACTGTCAGCATAACGTCGCCAATTGCTTACGTCTGCGCACTCGTTGTAAGCACCACATTGACATATCTTTCCAGTGGCCGAAGGCGTCAAGGCAGGCCTTGAGTCGGCCGGGGGTAAAGCGACCATCTACCAGTACGTTACTCTGGCTTTATGGCGGGGATCAGTATAGAATAACTATGGTGCAGAGTCCCGGAGACCCTGCCGGGCGAGGTGCTCGCGAAGATGCATGCTCCTCCCAAGCCTAGCTACCCGATCATCAGCCCCGCCGAGCTCGCCACCTTCGACGCCTTCCTCTTCGGTATCCCCACACGCTACGGGAACTTCCCCGCGCAGCTGAAGGTGAGTGGAGTCGGTATAAGACAGGCCGGATGTGTGCTCACCTGCTGACTCGCGACGTGCAGGCCTTCTGGGACGCCACCGGCCAGCTCTGGGCGACCGGCGGGCTCGCGGGCAAGTACGCGGGGCTCTTCATCTCCACCGCGTCCCCCGGCGGCGGGCAGGAGTCGACGGCCATCGCGGCGATGTCGACGTTCGCGCACCACGGGATCATCTACGTCCCGCTCGGGTACAAGAACGCGTTCGGGCAGCTGACGAACATGTCGGAGGTGCGCGGTGGCTCTCCCTGGGGTGCGGGTACGTTTGCGGGCGGGGACGGGTCGAGACAGCCGTCTGAGCTCGAGCTCGAGGTTGCGCGGATCCAAGGGAAGCAGTTCTGGGAGTATTTGAGCCGGGTTAAGTTTTGAGTAGAGATGGGGGTTGGATTGTTAGAATATACTTGTAATTGTTAGAGGATCCGTGATGATCCTCCCTAGGACCCGAATGCAATATAGAGAGCTTCGAGGGGCGTGTGAAGTGCAGCCACCCCGATCGCGACCCGCTCCAAATGTGGAAATCCCGCCTTCGTCGCGTCGCGAGCATTGCACTGTGCGCCGGCTCCGTGAAGCATGTTCAAGCTGCCTACTAACCTGGCAGTCTGCAGCACCTATCGGCCCCAGGCCAGGCGGCTTGCTGCCCCAGGATTCGGTCGCAAAGCTGACCAGAGACGTCTGTCACAAGACCGTCGGGACTGAGTACTGAGTACTGATTCCGACAGATCTAGCGACATAGACCGTCTTTGCTTTTGCGCCGACGGCGGCCGCTGGTATTGGTACCTCCGGCCTTCATGGCTGCTTGGTGCGCTACGTATATCCAACAGGCGCCTCCGTCGAAGGAGAAAGGGGAGGATGGCATGAATATCAGGGTTGTCAGTGACTACGTTAATACTACGTTAATACCGTGGGAATGACCAACTGACTGTTGTGACGGTAATTTGGTCAGTAGTCACAGTATTTATGGTGGCTGAGGGCCTGGGCAGCTGGGTACAACTATTATTTCGTGCCTGTGGTATACTAACCAGGATCTAAGTGGACGTAGTGGGCTCTATGATGTATCTTAACGCCAATGCTAATCTTTTGCATGCAGAGCAGAGCCCATAACCCGCTTTCAACCAGTTTAGCAGGTTCATATTGGTGTAGTTGCGGCAAACGGGAAATGCCAACATCCTTGCATGTGGCGTGCGAAACATCACACTAAATTTAATACGGCGGAACATTCCGCATTTTCCCTTCACAACGGCCAACCGAAACTTCGGTGCCGACCGAAACCGGTAGCTGAACGCCATGTCGCTTATTAATATTCCTACGCCTTAGTAAAGCACATTCAGAAAAAGGAATATAATCATATCCGGGAAGTTGTCTCTCAATGTAAAATACATATTCCTACATAGAGTTACTATAAATGGCAAATAGTGTTCGATATTTGGGTATATCTAAAATACATAAGCAGAGTATATTATTCTGACCGAACTTTGAACAGCCACTAAACTTCATATCTTCACGTCCAGCAGAATAGAAAACAATATACAATAAGCAGCTGCAAGCACAAAGGGATTCAAAAATTTGAGACTTTGTTATGCCTTCTGATCTTACTCGGAATGCCTCTCTAAATATCATATTCTCTGCAGACCCGCAGGTAATCGCCCCGCCGACGGCCCGCTTGCGGCCCGCTTGCGGCCCGTCTGCGTCCCGCGAGCGTCCCGCCACACATCATGTGAGCGGCAAAAGCCGCTGTA